GAAGAGCTGCAGGGCAGGAGGGAATGGCTTCAATAATATGTTCTTAAAGCACATTTTGGGGGGAAGGAGAATTAATCTGACTTCGTGTAAAAGCAACCTTTATCCACATTCCTTCTGAGCATCAAGGCTGAGGAAAACCATTGAATTAAAGGGGGATTTGTTCCCACCACTCAGGACAGCAATTATGGGATTTCTCGTGTTTACCGGGAAAGGATCTGGTCAGGGACAAGTGGCAATAAAAGCACCTCAAAAGGCCTTGAGCACTCACCATCCCTGAGCCAAGGCCTTCACCAAACACAAAACAAGCCCTTCCAGAGGCCAAGGAGATTCTGAAGGTCATTCATTTACATGGGAACCATACCTTGGGGATTATCCTGCCTTAAAAAAAATAGTTCATTGAGCTAGAGCACAGCCTAGCAGCTCTGGAGCAACAGGTCCAGGAGAAGAGGAGCCATGGCTACTTGGGATGCTCAGATCCCAGGAGGAAGACTCAGCTACTTCCTCCTCCCACATGGGAGAGAGCACTGACCTCTTCAGAGATTGGACTGCTCAAACCTTGCAATCAATAGCTCAGCTTATCAAAGGCTGTTTCCCGAGCAAGAGCTAACCTTGACAAAACAGTCCCTGGTTATAAATGTTACCTTTGATCAATACCTGTCACAAATGCATTAGAATTAATTGGTTAAAGCTTGTATTTTAAACCACATTTATTGCTTCCTGCACGGCTCGCTCTCTGCGCTCCGGCAAAGGAACGAGACATCCACGATGTCCCTGGCCACACTACAGCAAGGGATCCAAGGGATGAAGGAGCTGCTGGGAGATGTCCAGCAAAACCAGCACCAGCATCAGGTGCTGCCTGACCTGAAGCAGGTGGGACTGTCCCACCCAGAGCCTCTCCCACAGACCACGCTACGGATCCAGGGCTCCAACACTACAGCCAGAGGGACATTATCTGCCAGGGCTTTTGCCATCCTCTACAAACATAAATATACATTCATTCTGATTAGAAAAAGCTAATACCAGCATCATTGCAAACCCTCTGGAAGCAGCTCCCTGTCTCATTCCTTCCTGTGCTCCAGGAGAAAACCCAGAGAGTACCTCAGTGCCTTTTCCACATCTCTGAGCCAGACCCTACACTTAGCACAAACCCTCCCAAGTCTTCCCCCACCCTGGGGAAGAGCCCTGAAAAATAAAACTTACACATCACACTGAATAAAAGCCCAGAGAGGGGGTGGCCAGCCAGGGAGGGGGAACATTTTGTCCCAATCTGAAGAGCTTTGTAGTGAAGCCATCAAAGTGATTCTCTGCCTTTTTTCTGCAGGATGGAGTGGGTGTAAACCTCAACGAGTCTCCCTGCACCCTGGAGACCCCAGGGAGGGGTTCCCTGTGAAGATGATCATTCCCAGGGAGCAGTTTCCCCCAAAGCTTGGTCTTACAGGCTGCTAAAAAACGCTTGGCTGCTTCATTGGAGCTCCTGACTTGGAACGCGTGGCGGTGTCTGAAGAGCAGAAAACACTCAGCAAGAGCACACGCCAAAAAGTCTGTGACAGCTGTTAGTACCTCCAGGCTTTGCATTTAAAACAAGCCTTCAACCTGAATTACTTCCTGGCATGCAAAAGGAAAATAAAGCCATTTTAATTATATTTTATTCCTCGATGTCTGACTGTTGAAGTTACTGTTGGATAACCCACAGGGAAAGTAGGGCAAGTGGGGAACATCAGGCTGCTTGTAAGCAAGGGGGGACAACATGGCAAGCCAAGCCACTGGAAGGAGAAAACAAAAGGTGTTCCTGCAGTTTTTGTAAGACATTAACATTTTTATTTCAAGAGACAAATAAAGAGCACTGGAGTTGTGACACAGGTTTAATACCAAACCCCCAACTTTACAATTCCTTCGTTATCTTCCCTCAAGCCCTTATCTGATTTTCCAAGAGATTAAGAAATCTTGACATAGCATTTATTGCCTGAGCTAAATCCCCACGAGACAACCTGCTCTTTCAGTCACCAGTTTACTGTATGTTATAAAACCACCACACAGAAAGGTTCCAGCCACTTTACCTTAAAATGGGTGACTCGTGCATAACACTGATGGACACAGATGCTTTTGTGCTACAAAGTGAGTGCTGCATTCCTGGTTTTAAACCCTACTGTTTGCCCTCTTTCCATTTCAAGCTGCCTTGATATATTTTTGGGGTTTGCTCCTCTGAAAACCACCATCCATGATGGTATTTAGCAAATTACCCAATTTTAATATAGCAACAAGATTTGTCCTGCAATTACTTTGTTGCCCAGAGAAGTTGCGGCTGCTCCATCTCTGGAAGTGTTGGATGGGGTTTGGAGCAACTTGGGCTGGTGGAAGATGTCCCTGTCCATGGCAGGGGGTGGAACAAGATGAGCTTTAAGGTCCTTTCAACCCAAACCACTCTATGATTCTACAAACTATGGTCATGATGCTCTGGCAACACCAAACACTCAGCTCCTTCATATTCCTCTCCTCTCATCCTTCCATCACCCCATTCCAGTACCACTTCCCCATCCTGCCCCTTACACATGAGCCACGCTCCCCAAATCAGTGCATCCCTCAAATCCTCACCAAAGACTCCTGCAAGGATCCTGTCCTGCAGCTCCTGAGCAGCAGTGACTTGGGAAATCAGCAGCCGGAGAGAACAGATGAGTGCGTGTTGTGGATAGCTCTGGTTATACAATAACCAATCAAGGTAACGACGTGCTCACGGGACACTCACAGCATGGACCTTCCCATTTCCTTCCTCATGCCTGGAGCATCAACAACCAGTGGGCAGGAGCCCTGGGGCAGCTCTGGAGATGGGGCCTGGCATTACTCCTGGTGTCAGACACAGCATGGTCATTCCAACACCAACACCAACTCCTGCTCCTCCAGGTGACCTCTTACAGCCACATCCAAAATCCCAAACCCCAGTGGCAGCTAATCATCCCAAGCCTGAATATTTTACACTTTTAATTTTGAAAGGGAAAACCTCAAGGTGAAGCTCCTGGAGGAAAACTCAGTTCTAAACAGCTCCAAAGCATGGCAGGAGTTGGTACAAAGCCCCATCTGTGCCAACACAGCGTCCCTGGCAGCCAGGCTGAAGGGATGGACCTGTTCCCAGAGTGACCCTGGATCACCTCATGCTCCACCACCTTCCCTTTCCCAAGCAGGCAGCACTTCTGGGACTTTCTTCCTCATTAAGGAAACATGCTCCACCATAAATAAACCCAGAATAGCAACGGAGCAGAACACAATCCAGACACCCACCAAAACTCATGACAGCACACTGCAGACACCCTTTGGTCCTGGGGAGGACAGGGGAGGGGAGGAAGCAGGGACAAACATCAGCTGCTGCGTGAACACGTGTTTCTGAGCACGACGAGAGATTTGGGGGCTGTGAGCAGCCAGCACCACTCAGCACATGTGCACACCATGCAACCCGATAAATCACTGATACAGACAAGTGATCACACTTGGTGCAGCCTCCAGTAAAAAGGCAAAGCCTCTACAGCACTGCTTGGTCTTAAATCTGTGCTGCATTTCAGCCAGAAAAGGTTCCAAAAGGAAGGAAACTCCTCTGCAGCACCAAAGGAAAAGACAAGTTTCACTGATTTCTTTACCAAATGAAAAGATTCCAAAAGAAAACCTAAGGAAAAGGCATGATTGGAAACAGCAAGGTTGAAAATTACTTTTCTGCCCTTTTTTGGAGGGAAGAGGAAACAGCAGCATCCTTTACAGCATCCTTTGCCAGGCACTGTGGGCTCCAACAGCCTCCCAGGCTACGGAAACACATTCAACACCATCAGCTGCACGTGGGAAAGTCTTGGGAGAGCTCAGCTTTCCCTGCAAACCGCAGGATCTAAACGCTGGCAAGTCCAAAATTAGAAGCAAGCCCCAAAGGACAGTTCAATAAGTCACGTTGGTGTGTCCTCTCCTCTCTGCAAGTGGTGCCTTTCTGACTCACAGGCAAAAAAGGGGGAAAGTTTGGGTTCTCCTGAGTGTTTCTTTACTCAACCTCACTTAGCCACACCACCAATACCAAACCTTGGTTTCCATGAATTTTGGCCAATTTATTCTTGGTGCAGTCAGCTGTGCAGAGTCCATTTCGCCTTGGCTGAGGAAACACAAACCCTGGTTGCTTTACAGCTCTCCTCTGGCTCAAACCACAAGGATGACAACATTTAACCTGCCTACAACTCATTCCCCCCTTCCCAGAGGAAACTTCTTAAACAGCAAACAAGCTCTACCTCATACCACTGCAAGCCAAAACCTACAAACCCACCCAACAGAGAGAACCCAAAGCAAACACTCCATTTAAGCATCTTCATTTCTAAACCAACGCCGTGAGGTTTTGGAGGCGACTCTAGAGATGCTCCTCGTAGGGGGGAGTCAGTTAAGGACTAAAACAGTGTTAGGAGATCCTAAACCCCGAGCGGTCACATCTCCGGGAGGGCAGAGGGGGCCGCGCGTTCCGCTCGCCGCGCAGCGCGGCCAGCCGGGAAGATGCTATTTTTAACCACGATAAGAAGCGGTTGGAAAAAATAAAAAAATAAAAAAAAAAAGAAACTAAACCGAATCCGCTGCTCCAGCAGCTTCCACCCGCCCATCAGCGCCGGGAGCAGCGCCGAGCCCGGAGCAGCAATTCCCTCCGGCAGCGCGGACAGAGCCGAGCCCGGGG